GAACCGATGACTTCCCAGATGTGGGCTAACATCACTTACAACATAACTTATAAATAAGGGCAGTGTCTACAGCTCATTACTAGCTCTTCAAAAACAATAGATACCACATAATTAATCACTTTGTGAAGATAATGAGGCTTTGATGGCTTACTCTCAGGGATATTATACTGATGCTGTTCTCAGTGAAATCGGTTCTGATGTGTTGGTGGGGTCCAGTGTCTACCTGTGGAAGTTTCATTTCTCATTGGTGTATGCCTTCTGCTCATTGTGGATTGATTTGGGAAATACCAGATAATAGTGTACACCTGACTCTTGATAGAGGCTTTTTTTTGCTGTGCTGAGGTTATTTATACAGCTGTGCTGGTACTTCAGCTTCATAAAGGCAGCTCTGCTGGTCCATATGATGAGATTTGTGCTCGATACCGTTACTGGTACTAATACAGAGAAGATACAAATGAATACACACCCTGAAAGTGATTAATGCAAGTTAGGAGATTCTAGAAATTTGTAAAAAGTTTCTGTCCCTCTCTCCCCTCCTCAGATTTGTACTGCACATTAGAGGTGGATTCTTTTGGGTATTTTGTGAACAAGGCTAAAACTAGAGTTTACAGAGACACCACGGAGCCCAACTGGAACGAGGTAGGTTGGATTTTTCTTGATATGACTTGTTCCATGTGCCCAATATCAACACATGATGGACAAAAACCTGCAAATAGAAGAACTTGCTGCATATGCTGCCCCTCAGAAAACACTTTTATGCAAGGTTCATTTGGCTGACAGGGCTTGTAGAAGATTTTCCTCTTGGGTTAGTTATAGTTAAACAAACATTTCAGTACAAATGAATCTTGTCCAGCATTTAATCATTTAAACAGATGCACGTTTGCTTTTTTTTTTTTTAAAGACACAAGTTAAAATATGTTGAAGAAGGAGGTGTTTCTGTCTGCTTGTTGTGAGGGGAAAGAATTAGCTATAGATATTTTGCCTGTTTACAGCCAACTCAAACCTGCTGGGGAGCAAAATTAAATACAAGGAAGGCAGGTGAGTTTGTTTCTTTGAATGATGCTTTACTGAAACTCAGTGAAACCTGATTAAGGAGTCAACCATCTTAGTCTCTGATTTGACCACCTTATATATACAAAATACAGTTTCAATTTCTTTCAGACCAAGTCCATTAAGGAGATGGTTTTGGTCAGTCCTTCAGTGCTCCCTCCTGATGATTTTTAAGGAGACTATATTGATTATTAAGAGACTAGTGTCCTGCTGTGATGTATTCATTTCCTTTCTTGCCTTTCCATTTTTTCCATTCTTTCCTTTGCTGGTGCCCTGCAGGAGTTTGAGATTGAGCTGGAAGGTTCACAAACTCTGCGAATTCTGTGCTATGAAAAGTGCTACAACAAAACCAAGCTCGCCAAAGAGGATGGAGAGAGCACAGATCGCATAATGGGGAAAGGACAGATCCAGGTAAGACTGTGCTTAACTCATTCCTACTACCCTTACTGCAAAAAGTAACAGGACTTTTGAATCCTAGAGTGTACCAGGGAGGTTTTTTTCCTCTGCCTTCTGATTGTCTCAGCATTGGGGATTTTTCTCCAGACAGTGTGATATACAGTGTGATTCACAGGCGGGAAGTCAGCAGCTTTTTCCCTGTTGGCTTGTCCCCTATGCCTGCTTCAGTACCCTTATGGAATAGATGCTTTTTCATGAAAATTAACGTTTTGATCTCTGATTTGCCGGTCAACTTCAAAACTTCCAGCACAGTGTATAGGAACTGCACTGTCGCTGAGCCCTGGGCACTGCTGAGAATGCTCCATTTGTGACAAAAGAGGAAGCAGTGAATATACTGTCTCCTCTGTAAATAATGTGGAAGAAATGCTACCTTCTGTATGTGCTGGAAGCTGATTGATGTGATAGCAAGGCCTTGGAGGGCAGGCTTATTGTCCTGATAACTGCCATGTCCAAAGTATAGTGTCCATGACAGCAGGCTGCATCTGATAGACAAAGTGCCCCATGCTGATTCTCAGTGGTGGAAATCTCTATGTGGCAAATTTGTCATACACTAGGGGAGGTGATGAGATGATTGCAAATGGATGCTGCTCTCAGAGAGCTGCTGTGTGATAAAGCGCTGAAGTTCCATGCAGGAGAAATCAGGTCATCAGTGGAGGCTGACATGGAGAACATATGTTCCCCCTCTTCTTCCAGTTTGTTGCACTGTCTGTCCACAGCTTTAGGAGGGTGTTTAAATGCCGGCTCTGATGACACATTCTTTGTGTTGGACTGGTTGTTGTACAGAGCAGAGACCCTGTCCACATATCTTTCTCATTCTGGCATGCTGAAAAATACCATCACTTCTCCGTTTACGTTTGACTCTTCATCACTCCAAGGATGACAGCTTTCTTCAGCATTTCAGTGATGGTTGTGCAGGCCAAGGCCTTTTGTGGGATTTCTGAAACAGCTCTGAGGGCTGCCTGCACGATCATATCTTCCCTTTACTCGAGGAGGGCTCATTGTCTAAATGAGTTTCATTAGGCCTGTTCCTTTCCCTCCCTCCTTGCAGCCCTGAGGCTGCCATGCTGTTTTCAGGGAGAGCTTTTTTCGCCAAAAGCATGGTGGGTGTTTGAAAGAAAACTTGTGTACAAATCAATAAATGCTAGTGCAGGGTGCCTCCTATGTATGTCTCCCAGGCTAACCAGAAATCTCTGTGTCCCTTCTGCTAACAAAAGCTCATTTTCCATGAAGCTGAGCAACTATAAAAGAGCAAGTTTCCAGCCCTGAAATGCCCTGGAGGTTTGTGTGCTCATAATGGAGAATCCTGAAATCACTGACCCTCTAAATTCTTCAAACATTTTACATAGCATGATTAAAAAAATGAATAAAATCTTTAAAATTTTTAACAATTTTTTTTTTCAACAAGAGCGGGAATTTTTATGCACAGCACTTGTACATTCTGTTAGAACATTTTATGCTTAAGTTAATGAGTAAAAATACTCTTTGGTGACACTTGAATATTAATTGCATCTTGATTCTTTTAGAGAAACCTAAACAGTGGAAAGTAGAAAAAAACAACAACAACCAAACAAAACCCCCCAAACACCATAGTACAATGTTTTTGATTAATGTGCAAAATTGCATTTTGTTGTACCGTAAAAGGCAAATGCAAAAGTTCTCTTGCTTTCAGTAAATCCCCCTTGCAATTTATAAAGAAACTTGGTGAACTCTCAGAACATCCTCTTAATTCTCAGTGATCTCTCTCCCATCACACAACCTTTTAACACTATTGAATAACTGCAAAGAGAAATCATAGGAGTCTGGTAAGATTTTGGGTTGATAAGAGTTATTAAAGGTTTGTATTTTGTTTTCTTTCTAAAGCAAACACTATTTCTCTATTAAGAAATCATAACAATGCAACAACAAAATCAAATTACCACCTGTGGCTGAAGGTTAGCTGTATTAATGCTGTTAGTATCTTTTCCGGTCACTGGTTTTACAGTAATTTTCTTTCAGGATTTGCCCAGGTGCTTTTACATTAAATTTTGTTTACTTTAGAGTTGCTAGTATATCTAGGGCTTTCTGTTGTTGTTGTTGTTGCGTTATCATTATTCAGCCAAAGTCCGTCATGTGTAAAGACAAGGTCTGTGAAGTTGGATGAGGTTGTTTTTTTTCCTAAATTCCTTTTAGTTAAAAACTCTGGAAACATGAAGAGTCAAGAGTCATGTCTGCATCCTCCTGCTGATAAAAACAGGGAAATTTCTGCGTTGGCTAAATTGCATGTATTGTTAAGCCGTGTATTATTGTAAATCTGCAACTTCCCACTACTGGGATTTATGACTCACCAAATTCTCTGAGCTGCAGTGATGAAGACAATGCATCAAGGAGACAGGACTGTTTTGGCTGTGAAATGTTTACTAAATCTCTCCGTTACATAATGGCACTGCAGGAAGGAAGACTGGAAATTGGTCCATGTGGTCAGAAGCTTCCAGGAATGGGCAGCAATTTTAATAGCTCCCATTGCTCATATTTTCTTTTCCTATGGAATATTTTATTTACCTGTTTTTACAGCCACATGCAAGAGCTTCATTGCTTGCCAACCTGCAAGTTTCATCCCTTAAAAATAAAACCACAAGGCTTTAGTGTGGAAGAACCTCCTGTAAATGGAGAAGTGAAGTCCTCATCAGACCTTCTCAGAATGGCAGCACTGGATGTGCAGTGTCTTAACTAGCCAGCACGCGTGGTTGTGGGCTTCTGTTATGTCTCAGGCATGAGAAATACAGGGAGAAGGTGCCATTCCTGGGTACACAGTGAAGCTGAAATTATTGGGGTGTTTGGGGGAAGAAGAAATGGACATCTTATAGGAGGAAACATGAGGCTTAATTCATCTGTAAGCATCAGCTCCTCTCATTTTGAACTCTCTTTTTTTCTTTTGGTTATTACCTTGCTATGCACCTTTGGCACTTGGGAGGCTGGCCCTTCTGCTCTATAACATTTTGTACGTCATGTGGCAGGCACGTCCCCATGTTTTGAGTGTAGCAGCCTTTTGTTTGGTCCTGAGACTCTGCATCTAAGTGGGCACATATGTCAGCAAAACTGGCCTCTGCCTTGGGAACAGACTGCATGAGTAAACTGATACTTCATCCTGTGATCCATTCTCCTCCAGTTGGTGCCTCCTGGAAATGCTGTTTCCTTTGGTTTTTGTTTTGGGTTTTTTTTTTCTGCATGATCAGCTTGGGCAAACCATTTTCTTCTCCCTTACAGCAGTGCTGGAAAATCAGAGAGGATATGACCTTAGATCAGTCATTTTGTGGTAGCAGTGCAACACCATTCCTCTGTTTGCCATGCGAAACAATTGCTCTTATCTGCTTAATTATCTGGGATGTCTCATAGCAGTGCACATGGCTATTTCAGACATCTAGGTTGTTTTCCATGTAAAACAAATTGTCACACGCTGTACCTCCCAAGTGTCAACTCAGAAAACCTTTTACACACTTGAGTTCATTTAAACAGTTTGCTCATGCAGAACAGTATCCCAGCAATGAAAACAGGGTGGAAATGAAGAAGGCAATGGGTCCTGTCTAAAGGGTGATGGTGGGAAAGATTAACGTGTCAGTGGGGAGCTTTGAGAAGAATGGGGTTATGGCTGGACAGGGAGTTTACAGCAGCAGTGAGACTGACACCATGTATGTCACATCAGTTACAATTAAAAATTAATGGAGTGTAAAGTTGCCAGGGAGGTTTAATAAAGGGAGGAAGTAATGTGAATAAATAGCATAAAACACACTAACCTTAAGGTTGCCTTAGTCCTTGCTCCCAGGTATTTCATTTCTACTGATGTGTCTTCATTTTTTTTCTTCTTTCTGAATGTTTTCTCTTCTCTTCGGGGTGTGGGGAAATCATTAAAGTTTCTGTGGTGTTTTACTAAGTCAGAGCACCGACTCCCTCCTTAGTGCCTGGCTTGCATTTGCTATGGACCAGCATCCTCAGTTTGGCTTTTTTCCTAGCTCCCCACCACTCTGCACACTCGGCCTCTACTGACTGCTACACACTATCTATCTGTCTTAATTCGGTGCTAAGCTGCTTTGAGGGCCAGAGACTTGTGCTCAGAAATCCCCGTAGTGCAGAGCTGCTTTGTTCTGTTGTGTTTTGTGTAGGATGTAGAGGCATATGCTTGGGTCATTGGTGAATTTGCTTGCCAGTGCAAATGCCAAAGAACAGGCCACAGGGGCCTGGAGGTGCTGGGGGAGTAAAGACAAACTGGTTTGTTTGTGTTTTTCCTGTGCAGCATGCACTTTTGATGGGGACTGTGCAAACAAGCCCGTGAGATACCGTCTTTGAGGGTTTTAGCAAATCTGTCCTATTTGTATAGGAAACAACACAATTTTTTCACAGTTTCAGTGGAGGTGGGACAGGTCCTTTTGTCACTCAAACCAAGCAACTGTTTGAAGGAAATGTTTCGAGGTGCAGTAAATGTCACTGTCAAATTAATGCAGAGGCAGCCATTTCACAGTGCTTCCCCCTGCCTGAGCTGGCAAAGCAAGCGCTATGTGCTCGCTCGCTCACTCGGAGCAGCCTTCTTTTGGCACGCTGGCTGAAGATCACATTTTTCTACTCAGTGTTCCTTCCTCCAGGTCCTTGATCTCCAAATCAGTCCAGAAGACAGCATGACCCCATTTGTCATGGGCCTTCTCTGTGCTGGAGCATCACACTCAGTCACTCTCTTTGTCTTCAGTCTGCTTTGTCACCTGTCTGCTCCAGCTGCCCTTTCCCTGTGTTGCTCTTGCTGGCCTTAGAAGGTCAGTCAGCTGTAGGGTCTCGGACTGAAAGCTTGCTCAAAGTCTAAATGATGCTCTTAGTTTCCTGTTGATTCTGTTATTTCCTACTGTGACTTTATCAGACTGTTAGACCTGATCTTCCTGTCTCACTCAGTGTTGCTGAAAGCTTATTCAAGCTTTGCTCTTTTATTAGCTTCCAAGGCACTCGGGGGCAGGGGGGGGGTGTTTTTGTTTTTGTTTTTTTAAACTGCTGTGGTTATTGCTGGTGACTTACACAGGGTTGGCTCAGGGTCAGCCAGACCCATTCCCTGGTGCTTGTTCTCCCTAGCTGTCTCCATTCAGTGCAAGCTGCTCCCCAGCAGCAGTCAAACAGCAGGTGAGGAGAGTGAGGTCCTGCCAGCCCTGCAACAGAGTTCAAAGATAAGGGAGCAAGAGGTAGCAGCAGGTACACTCGCAGTCCTTGCTCAGCTCTAGTACTTACCCAGCGAGGGAGAGCCTCTCTGAGCTCTCAGCTGCAGCACACGGCTTTTGCTAGTCCTTTGCAGCCATATGATACCCACTTGTGAGAAAGAGTAGGACTTTGTTTGGCTTGTACTTTTTAACAGCTGTTTACTTGCTTTTGTTTTGTACAGTGGTAGGAGTTCCCTGGTCGTCACTGAGACTTAACCAGTGATACCTGTTAGCTTAAATAAACTGTAACTGGACCCTGCTGCACTCTAACTCTTTTGGAAAATACTCAAAACCCTCTTTCCCCTTCAGTCTTAAGCAGTCTCTCTCTGCTATAAATAATACACTCTCAGTGACTCTGTTCTACAAGCATATGGAAGAGTGCTTCCGAGCTGGAGATCGGCTGTGACTGTGTCTATCAGCAGGACCATTTTGGCAGCTTAATGAAATGACTATTTAGGCAGCTGGAGATCAAGCTTTCAGGAATACCGAGCATGGTTGCTCTTCAGAGGAAACCAGACACTTCAGAAATGGTTTCCTCTTGATTCTGGGAAAGAATGCAGTTGTTGAAAGAAACCAAACTTCCAGTACGGAAATTCAGGGGAGAACAGCCTACATTCTGACCAGCTCGTAGGGACCTTGGCCAGTCGCAGAGGCGGGGCGGATCTGTTCTGCCAGAGTTATAAGCAAACCTTCCTGGCAAGCAATCTGTTATTTGGGTTTGCTGAAGCAGTGAAGCTAAGCACTGCTGTCCATTGGCTTCCTGGACCTTTGTGCAGTCCCAAAATGTGGGAGCTACTGGTTGCTGACTATTCCTTACAAGGGGTCTTCAGGAGTTTCTGCCAGAGTTGCACCTACAGGAACCGGTCCAATTCGACAGGAAAGCATGTGTGTGCTGGCAGCATCCCACTGTGGGCTCACGTCCGTAACAAAGTGCGCAGAGATAAGGTTGGCCTGACTTGCTTGTCTGTTGCTTCTTGGGATCTCTGCAGTGTGAGCAAGCAGGGAGAAACTTTTCTTTCTGATGGTTGGGTTTTTTTGAGGAGCGGGGAACAGTGTGGGGGGACTTGTCTCTGAAACCGTCAGCAGCATTGGGCTAGTTTGTTGATGATTTGAAAGAGAGTGTGAGCATGATTATGTCTGAGATCTCCTAGAATATGCTGCAGCTGCCATTGTTTCAACATTTACCCCTGCCTGTCAGGGAACTCTGCTTTTGCAAGGAGTTCTGTGAGAGGGAGGAGCTGTGCTGCAGAAATAGCTCTAGTGACTGAGTGTCTTTTTGTTTGCTGACGACAGTAAACTCAAACCATAGAGTCTAGTGCACTTGCTGCCTCCTGGTCTTGCTGTGTCAGTGTTCGAGAGCCAAGTGTTACAAAGCCATCTCAGGAGGCACCGAAGTCAGCTTGCTTTGGCTGGTTCCGATTGCTGACAGAAGTCCCCATGCAGACAGGTCTTTTCTCTCTTGCCAGTTTAGCTTGAGCTGAGTGTCCCTCTTCGCGCCTTCAGATGTGTTTGGACTCTCCCGGGCAGTATTGGAATGGCTGGGTGATGTGAGTACTTGGGTGAGCTGCTCCCCAGCCTCACAACTGTCCACTCAAAAGAGATCAAGCAAAGCTGAAAATGGGAGATTAGGACTTTGCATCAGAACTTGTTTCTGCTTAATGAATTCTTGCAATAGCAGGGCCAGGTGTCTTCCTGCCTCCATGCTCAAATAGAAATGAAAAGGAATAGGCAGGTTGAAGGAGGAGAACTTTCCATGATTTCTGGGCCTGTTTTCTCAATTTCTTCTCTGTCAGATCCTGACAGAGGTTTGGTTTGTTTAAAGTTACTTGTCTCTGTATGGATCACTTATTTCTCTTCCTTGATCTCACTGTTAGGGTCATTATGTCTTTTTAATTCAGTGCAACGTAGTCCTTCTTGGAAGCTATTAGCTTCATAGCCAAGAGCTATGCAGTTCTCCAGTCTGGCTTTTTATTTCGGTGCAGTAATTTCACACTCATCCAACTTCACCTGTCTCTAGAAAACTGCAGAGGGAGACAGTTTCCTCTATTTCAAATCGGAGTTATTTCATAAATCTCTCCTCCCCTTTTCTGACTCCTAGCTCTATGGGATGGGACAACTTTGTTAATGTGCCTCTTGTGCAATCTCTGTTTCTGTGACAGCTGAGGTTATTGGCTTTCAAACATTCCTTTTGCTCACTGAGGTTGCCTTTGTTGTTGAGCAGACACTGCACATATGTTGCTGGATTTTCCATGTGTGTTGGTCCTCACCAGCCCTGCTTAGAGAACTGCACAATATCTAAGTGTCCGATTACCTGAAACCTGGGAAACCTTGGAATGTGTGTTTTCCTATGGAAAAGAGATAACACGTTGAAAGTGGTAGTGCGCTCTCTGCTCACTTACAGAAGTCTTTCAGGCTAGCTAGTTTCTTTGAAGTCTCTTCCTAGCTCACGGGTAACTTCCATGTTTTTCAGCTGGACCCGCAGGCATTGCAGGACAAAGACTGGCAACGCACAGTCATCTCAATGAATGGAGTAAGTATGGAAAACAGAAGCTAGCGCTGCTTCTGTACCTCTTATGTGCTTTATTTCTTTGCTCTTCATTGCAGCTTAAAAAAAAAAAAAAAGACGTTGAAATATTTGAAATACACCAGCTGTTCTCTTTTATTCAGGTTGAAGTGAAGCTGTCAGTGAAGTTTACCAGTCGGGAGTTCAGCCTGAAAAGGATGCCGTCCCGGAAACAGACTGGGGTTTTTGGGGTCAAGATTGCTATTGTCACCAAGTGAGCTGATGGGTCACATTTCTTCCTGTTGTTTTTTAGAAAGCCAACTGGCCAGTGGGTTGCGCCTGTCTTTACCTCACTGACGGATTTGTCAGTCCAATCTGCCACACTTGGGTAGTAGCGTAGATGGCTGTGGCGGCAGAAAAAAGGTGCTGTATATTCTCTGAGCTTCATTTTTTGCAAGGGTAAAAAACAGTGTGCACACAGGCTTTGAAACCCAGGGTGTTTACTTACAGCATATCACTTTTCTCAGTTCCGGAAATACCCCTTGCCCCATTACTCTGTAGTTAGCTGGCTTGGACACAAATTTCCAAAGCCACGGAACAGTGATGTTTCCTTTCCATAATCGGAAATGTTCAAGTTCTTTGGATCCTGGTGTATTATTTTAACCCCTGATCTTTTGTCATGAATGGTTTGCCAGAAGAAACCTGTTTGTTCTGTTATGTGGTTTGGGAAGTGTGGTATTTCCTCCCCATGGAATCGCATTAATTGGAAAGCCACAGTGTTGCTATGTATCCAAGGACTGTTTGGGAATCCTCTGACTACCTGCGCAGTCGCAGACTTCAGGCGCACTAGGACCTGGCCAGAAGCAAAAGTGCTCGGGGCAGCTGCAGATCAGCCAAAGCCATGCCGAGATACTCTGAAAACCCTTTCCAAGTTTTAAAAGGTGTTTTTTAGCTCAGTCTTGATTGACTGCTCTGACTTGCTCCCACCCCATCTTCCAGAATAGATTTACACAGCAAAATGATGGGGTGATTTTAGCCAGCTGGCCTGGCTGGGGTAACAAGCATTGAGGGCACGGGCTGCACTGAACTCTTCTATCTGGCTTTCTTAAGGAGAGAGAGATCGAAGGTCCCTTACATAGTGCGCCAGTGTGTGGAGGAGATAGAGCGGCGTGGAATGGAGGAGGTGGGCATCTACCGTGTCTCTGGGGTTGCAACCGATATCCAAGCTTTGAAAGCTGCCTTTGATGTCAGTAAGTATTTGTGTCTGATGTTTTCCTTTGCCCTGTGAGAACCTCAGTGAACTCCCTGTCAGGTGGCTACGCTATTTTTAACCTTATGTTCCCCAAGAAGCATTAAGAGGTAGATATTCTCGCACAAGGAGAATAATTTTAACCGTGGCTGCATGTTCTATTAATATTCTTCAGCTACAAGATACAACCCAAGACCTACAACAGGATGGATCCTTAGACTAAATAATGCATTTGTTATTCCTCCCAGCAGACATGAAATGGTGGGTTTGCCTGCCTTGCCAAATCTTTGTAAATGGCAGACACCTTCGTTAGGGGAAGCAGCAGCAATCAGAAGTCATAATTTCCTCACCGTGTGAGGTCTCCAAATTAATAAGAGCCCCCCAAAAAATGTTCTAAGGTTGACTAGGAAGGGTGTTTACGAAACTGGAGTTGGGTGGTCACGGCTCCTGAGTTCTGTTCTTAACTCTGTCTAGATTGATGTGCGCAGATTATAAAATCAGGTCATTTTGACCAACCTTTGTAAAGCCTTCTTTGATCTTGAGCAGGAAAGGGCTCCTTACTGATGCTGCCTTTAAAAGAATGGCATGTATGTCCCAAAAGGCATCCAAGATCAGGCAGATGAAACGCCTCCAAATTTTCACAAAAAGTGAAATTCTGTCCTACTTCCAGCCTCCACATGGTGGTCCAAGGACTGCTCAAGCCACATTCGAGCTCCCTTTTGATGCAAGCAGTCGTTAGGGCTGTGCCAGGTGCCCAAATTCACCCTCCCTGCACTTGTTCTTCACTTATTTTGTGAAATGTCTTCCTTCTTGCATTTCTTTTCAATCCCCCTAAGCTACCAAAAGCATTGATTTTTATGAACCTTCACTAGTGCAAGTAAGGGTGTTTCACATTCTGAAAAAAAACTTTTTTCATTTACATTAGATGTTATTTTACACTAAGCTTCATGAAACTAGCTCTGGCTCTGCTGGTTGGTCTGTTTGTTTTAGGGGAAGTGGGTGGTTTTGTTGTTCTTAATAGTAAGAAAACTGAAATGTGAGCCCTGAATTGCCTGGGTACTCTAGCTACACTCGGTGGGGAGTTACCCTCAGAGTCTCTTACTCTAAGCTGTTAGAGGCAGGGAATTGGGATTCCAACTGTTGTCACCAACAGAAGTCGAAATGCATACAAACACCGTCAAGCAGGGCTTGCTGCAGATCAGGCCGCGGTCGCTGGCCCAGCGTAACTAACCCTGCGGTTCCCCCTGCTTGATTTAAATCTAGACATGTTTGCAGTCATTTGTGCAGCGCCTCTCAGTTGTCAGAATTTAATCTGCAGAAATGTAAACAGGAGAAGTCTCAGCTGGTTGAGCAAAGACAAAGGATAAACAGAGAGAGCCAAAGCAAGGAAAAGAATGAATACAAGGCCAACAGCTTCTTTACCCTGCTTCCCCTCTTCCCTCTTTCAGATAACAAAGACGTGTCAGTGATGATGAGTGAGATGGATGTTAATGCCATTGCAGGCACCTTGAAACTCTACTTCCGGGAACTGCCTGAACCCCTCTTTACAGATGAACTGTACCCAAACTTTGCCGAGGGCATTGGTAGGTAGTAGCAGAAATAATCCTTGATAACGGAAACTATTCTGTAGGAGGCTGCTCCTAAAGCAATACAAGAAACATACTTATAATGTTGGACAGAAGCCTAGAACGAGCTGTTAGGGAAGTGAAAGAGAGCTCAGAAATGAGCATTGCACTGACATACTCTTCTTCTGAGCTTGAAAATGGGCAACTGCCATGCCCTTCTGTAAGTTGAAAATGTCTGGGTTTCTGAAGGATAGGTTAGGAATAGAATGACAGCCTACTCGTCGAGGCTGTGCTTGCTGTTTGCCTCATTCAGTCCTCCAGGGAAGCCCCCTTTGGGGGAGTGGTACACATGTCTTGTTGCAGGGGAAAACCATCATAATGGCTGAAAGTCTGAAAGCATTTGAACTGCTTGAGAGAAAAGGATTCTCCACATATCTATGAAATAAAGGAAAGAGATCCTGTAGGGTATTGATGTGCAACTCCGACCTTCCAACCTATGATGTAATTACAGTCCGTTCAGGACTGTCCGTATTTGTTGGTTTGGGAAATTACACAGTCAAATTGTCATTCACTGCCTGTGGTGATGTTTTATTTTCTGTCTTGTAGCACTTTCAGATCCTGTTGCAAAGGAAAGCTGTATGTTGAATTTATTGTTATCGCTTCCAGAGCCCAACCTTGTGACATTCCTTTTCCTTTTGGACCACTTAAAAAGGTAATATATGGATCCTTTAGACAGGTATTTGATGTGTAAAGCATCATCATTTTGAAAAGAGGAGCTTTTCCCTTGAATTCATGCTGAATCACACAAATGAAGAAGCATTTGCTGATTTGCTGTGAATGCTCATCAGATAAGTATTGTCTCATACTTCACTTAATGAGGCACTAAATCCTGAATTCCTTTCCCTTTTCCCTCTTACACTGAAAGGATTAGAACTGAAGGAAAGGGGTAACGAAAGTCTCAGGGCTTGTCTAGTGCAAATGCAAATTCTTGCTGCAATATTGCTGCAAAACTGTGCCTGCATCTGGGTACAAAGATCGGGAAAGGCTTTAATATAAACCATGAAGCTTCGGCCATGTTTAAGGACTTATGAGCCCTGTCTTAGAAGGTATCTGCAATCTAACATGATGTATTTTTAAAAATTCCAGTACTTCTGCTAACTGGAGTTGTCAATTCATTGCTTCGACTAGTCTTTCTGATCTTGTCTATCTCTTTGTAATACAGTTATAACTGTGGAAAAGGTATTTTGTCTGTTTGATATTAATGCAATAAGCTTGCTTAATAAATGCACAATGTGTTAATTTACATGTGCATTTTGTACATACCAGAGACTGTCACTAGAAAGATGAAAGATAATCTTACGACTGAGGTTCTGGATTAAAATCCAGGAAATCTGGGTTTTACTTGTGTTTCTGCTACAGACTTTTCTGCCCTTGGGTATATTTTTTAACGTTTGTGCCTCAGATTCTCATTTATGAAACTGGGATGAAAAACATTCCTTTATTGCTGTCACACTTCTGCCTGCCCAGACAGTCAGCAGCAGTCCCTTTCCCAAGTTTAAGCCATGTCTGTAGAGTGCCTGGAGAGTGTGGTTGTGTCAGACCGAGGTATTACTTATATATAAAGTTCATTTAGGCACATACAGAGTGAGTGGCTGATTGAATGTATTTAAAGCTTTTTACAAAAGGAATAAATACAGTTTCTTACTTAAGGACACTTCCAAACTCCAAACTCAGATATTTATAAAGATCTGCCTTGTTCATTGTTACTTCTCCCAGGGTTGCTGAGAGAGAAAGCGTTAACAAGATGTCCCTGCATAATCTTGCAACTGTCTTTGGACCAACGCTGCTCAGACCTTCAGAGAAGGACAGTAAAATCCCTGCTAACCCAACGCAGCCTATCACAATGACTGATAGTTGGTCACTAGAAGTCATGTCCCAGGTAAAATCCTAGATGTGCTATTGAATCTTGTGAAGACAATATGTGGGAAACTTCCGTCTTCTAGGAAGGCCTGGCTCAGCCATCCTTCTATGTTTTCATGACGTTTTTTTTGAGAACCATACAACTTTCACCCTTGCATAGACATTTTAGACTGACTGTAGAACTGTGATTCTTCAGGCAGTTCAGTTTGCATCTGTGCTAATCCAACTTTTTATGGAAAAATGTCAGTACGCGTGCAATCCTGCATGTGTCATGTTTGGGCATAGTAAGATTTTTGAGGGCACATACTGCCAGCCTGGGATAAAAGGACGGTCAGTGTTTTTTCTGCGATGCCCCTCAACACTTAAACCACCTTCACTGATGCACAACAAAATTCTTTGCTGAATTCGGGTTTCGTTGGCCACTGCTGCCTTTTGAAGGCAATGCAGAGAATTCAAACATAGAGGCTGTTTTGGCTGGTCAGGCTGTTTTGTGCTTTCTTGATTGAGTAATGGCAAATTCCAGATTGGATTTTTTCAGTGCAGTGGAACACCACCACCATTGTTATACCCTGGAAGCTGAAACAAGTGTCTCTGAAGCGCTGCAAGTTTTAGTATCCCTGACATTATAGTGTATTAAACGAAATACGTAACTGCAAGATGTTCCTGTGGAGAGAGCTGTAGGCATGTCTGCCAACTCTCAAATAGCAGGGATCGGAATGAGTTGACAGAGCTTTATTATTACCTCTTTCTCCTTCCAGGTTCAAGTTCTTCTGTATTTCCTTCAGCTAGAGACTATCCCTACCCCGGACAGCAAGAGGCAAAGCATTCTCTTTTCCACAGAGGTGTAGGTGCCTGTGACACCAATGGGACACAAAAAACTGCTCTTGGCATTAATCTGCCACACCTGAGAAAAAGACAACTGGTACTTCTCCAGACATTACTGGCCTGTTCCTGTCCTGGGGAATTACGGCCCTCAGTGCTTCTGCTGTTTGTAACCAGAGACAAGCCGAAGAGAAAGGAGAGAAATCTCCTCTTTTGGTTGGTAGGACCAGAGCTGCCCTGGGGGGGGAGCCGTGCAGAACCTCCACTAGAAGGAGCAATAGACACTTGAACAAATGAACCGCAGAGTGTGGCGATTATTCTTGCTGGGACTGTGACGGAAGGTATTCCTCGTTTTACGGACTTAATTTATCATAAAGAAACTTCAAGATTTCTACTGGACCGCTTGATAGAATACCCCTTTTTGGGTGAGGGGGAGTTAAAGGATATATCACAACTGTGTCTTTAATAACTGCTGTTTTTAAAGTACTGTTCTAGGCCGTGAAAATAGTGTTGCTTTGCAAGAGGAGACGAGAAGGGAAGGGTCTGGGATCAAAATGAAACAAAACAGTTTTGTGTACAGTTTTGTGTACAACTGGGACTGTTGGTTTGTTTGGGTTTTGGGGGGGCGGTTCCCTCTCGTACACCCCTTCCCTTGCAAATGTTTACACAGCTCTGGGGAAGGAGATGCCCTGCTCTTGCCTATGTTGCACTTCTGATGGGTTTTTTGGGTTAAGGGAGCCGGAGCCAGAGCCAATGCTGTTACACTATAAACAAATACAGCAAATTAAAGAGGCAGGGAGGGTTAGAGTCAGTGATTCTGTCTGTGATTCTGTCTGCTTGTATATAAAGACAGGGGTGATATTATCCAGCAGGATTGCTAAATTCCTTAGACCCCACCAAACTTAATGAAAATTAATTGAGAAGACTGCTAATTCCCAACATTCCAAAGAAAAGCTGTTATCACTGCAAAAATAATTGAAGCATTTGTGGACAAACCGAAATAATCAATTGGTATCAGTTTGGCGGCTGCTTACTCCAAACTTTTATCAGAACTTTTTTTTTATACTTGAATTTTTGGAGGCTTTGTACATTGCTTCTATAAGAGTCTTTTTCTGATAGATTCAAATACTTTGATAAAATGTGTCAGAATGTACTTTATGGACAATCTAGCAAGCAGCATGCATTGTGTGTTCTCCAGAAATTCCAACCCTGTTTTAAATAAGAGCAGTGAAGAAATTTCTATTGGAACTACATCGAGCAGTACAAAGGGTCCAGCCAAATACCAGCTCTGTGTTTCCCCGCCTCCATCGGTAAAAGCCACAGGGGTTACACAGGCGTAAAGGGCAGCAGTAGTTGTCTAGGGAATTGAAAGCATAATCTAACTGCTGGTATCCAGGCTGTGAAGCAGCTGTGCCAAACATCTGGGGGGAGTGATCCCGTTTTCATAAAGTACTCCAGCCCCCTTTACCTCCTACCCAGCTCTGCAGCATCCATGTAGTGGCATCTGTCCATCACCATCCTGGCGAGAAGAAAAGTACAGTTTGAAGTCAAGGGAAGGAGTCGGCATGGGAAGGGGAGGGACCGGGGGGAGAGATGTTGACAGGCTGGTAGAGTTAGGTTGTCAACATCGTTTGAGGAGAAATATGACAAAGAAGCAACCCTTGAAATTATGCTGAATTTCACATTTTCTGATCGGTGATCTGCAACCTCTCAATTGAAAAAACCCCAACAAAACAACGGAGTCTTTCAAACAAATGGAAAGAAAAAAATTAAAGGAAAATTATTTTGTAGTCACTGTAATTCTGACTGCTGCATAATATTAGAAATTCTTGTACTGTGGAGTTGCAAATTCAAAAAAGAACAAATATAAATTTCAATTTTGTGAGTATCAATATTTTGCATGCTTTGTAAGGATTCTTATAGGAATTTAATATTGCTTAGTACCCCTCCCTCCTTAGGTCTGGGAGCAAACCTCTTTGTATTGTAATGTACAACTAGAAATTCCTTCTCTCTTGTATGTATTTCCACTACATTCCAACTTCTGAACCCGTAAAACAGAAAAAGTGTTTATAGTAGGAGATGCATTTTTGGGCGAGGGAGGGAATGAAGGCAAGGAAACTTGAAGGCTTAAGATTTTGCTTTTTCATTTTTATCTTGGTTTTTTGCCTTTTTGAAGGTAAAATTAGTCACAATCCTGAAAAACATTGAATTCAGAAAAGTCGTGCAGACCAGTAAACCACACTCTACAGTTTTGTTTTTATGCATTTGCTCTCATTTTTACACAGCGGTTCTCTAGCAATCCTTCTATTGCGAGCTGCAGACCTACCCATCCCAGGCCGTGGTTTGGTACATCTGAGGCAATAGCAAAAGGGAAAAGGGAAAAACCAACCCCAGCCAAGCGACGCCAGGCGGTCGGGCAACAGCCTTTTCCTTTTGGTGTTTGGAATCTGTGGCTGCTCTTCGCAGTGTTGAAACTGGAAAGCAATACCATAATGACTGTGCCAATTTACTTTTGCCCAACTTTTTTATTTTTATTTATATAGGACGTTAATTTTAATATTAAATTACTGATCTATTGTATGTAACCATGAGAAGATTGCTTTTGCTTTGGTTACTGTTACAGGTTGTTGCTGTTAGCCTCTCATTACAATGCTCAGTTCTAATGTAACATTATCTAACATGCAGGCATGTGGATCAGGGAAAAAAAAAAAGTTAATTTAACTTAACCCGTTAATTATTTCTGTTAAGTATGAATATGTTTTCCCCAAAGCTGGTAATTTTGGGCTGGAAAAGATAGCGCATCTTATTGCTGATGATGAAATCATGAACCGATTTGAAATACAAGAATTGATTTCTTGGATTTAAGTTTTTTCAAATAGTCTTATGTTATCAGAAATTAAGTATTTCCAGAAGGCTTTTATGTTCTTGTCCCAGGGTTGTTGGTTGGTTTGGTTTTGTTTTGGGGTTTTTTTACTTTGTTATTTTTTTAATCAGCCTTATCATACTTAAACAAAAAGGGAGTTGCAAAACTTGGCTTTAGAGAAGGCCTTCTGATTTCTACTCTTGTATATTCCCTTGCGAGTTGTGTCAGAAAACCTAACTCTTCCATTTTCTATATTAAAAGGTACAACATAACATAAGAGCAAACTAGCAAGAAACTACCCTTTACATGTGTACTGGGAGCTTATGCTCTTTCTGTTTCTGGTGTATTGGAGAGACCTTTCTAAAAACGTAGCTTTCAGTAACAGGAATCTGAAATGTTAAAACTTTCATCTAAAGAAATTCAGGTGATTAGGATACTCTGTGTATCTCCAGTGTAAGGAGAGGAAAAAGCATCAGTTTCCTGGCATTTAGAAACTATTTTAAAATTCTCATGGATTTTTTTTTTAAACACTGAATAGTTTTTTAAGTAACATTTTAAAAAATTAAGTAAAGCAAACTATGGGAAACGTTTTCAAAGATGGACAAGAAATAACATTTACTAGATCAGTTTCAGCTTTGTGTTTGTGTGTGCTTTGTGTGGGAGGGGAGCGACTGAAACCAAAGTGGAACACATCCATTAAAATGCTGCTGATGTTCTTCATTCTTGCACAATTTTAGCAAGTTGAGGTAGTAGCTAAGCTATTTCAGGCTGTATTTTTAATGCTGCTATTTTTCAGTGTATCAGCTAAGGGCAAAACACAGCAGTGTGGTGACTATATTTGCTGATGCCCGCTGCCTGCCTCGATTCTCATCTTCAGTTGTGAACACAAGGCAATCAGCATGCACCGTATGAAGCAAAACTGCAACTTTTTTTGTTGGCCACAAGGTGGTGGAACCAGAGAGTATGTTAATGAGAGATGCAGTATTTTTACAGTTTATTCATTTTAATTGTTTAAAAATCTGTTTTACGGTCATTTGTTAGTTTTCTATGAGTTTAAACAAATGTACTGTTCTTTAAAGCATACGTGGATCTTCAAATTTGTTTGTCACCCTTGTAGCACTGGAAGGCATCACAATGTGTTCATTTACCTTAATGTGCCATTCTTTCAAGTATGTATAAAATGTAAATTGACCAACATGGCTTTTAAAAATGTTTAAAAACTGATGGCAAAAAAACAACCCTCTCTGATTCCTCACTGGTTAATCTTTTTGTTTTGGTGCTCGGTCATCTACTGGGATAACATTATCAGATGCGGCATTCTTATGGACATTTTAGTAAGAAATGGGAAGTGTTTCAAGAAAACACCCTACCCTTTCTCTTCTTTAATGCAAGAAGGCAGGGACTTGTAATAACAGAAGACCAATACATTCATGCTGGATTTAAGGGCTTTGCTTCTGTTCCTTGAAGAAGATAAATCTGAAAGGGCACTTCCTAAGTAGATACGATCAAATTCTTGGTGTAGTTAGTAAGTCACATGTTTATTCTCTCTTAAATTTGTAGTCCAGGTATGTTTTTCTCTGCTAACATTGTCATAGTACTGTTACCAGAAAAAGAAGTTTGATATCATTCACTTCCTTTAACATAGGGTACGTGCAACCGAGATGCTGGAGCCTTAGAGGAGTATTAGCAATTCTCCATTCTGAACTGGAATGAAATAAATGTTCATATGTATTCTATGAAATTTCTCATTGAATAGAATTGAATTGAAGGGATTGCCCTTAAAACCAACAGAAGCTCTAAAGGAAGCACTCACAGTTAATGATTATTCCTTAACAAGGTTTTCGGGAAGAAAAGTAACACAAATGGAAGAGAGAAGCATAATTAGGAATCGCTTGGATCATGTGGGGGCGGCTTGTGCCCTAGACAACTGTGAGCAAAGACTGTCTTGCCAGTTAATAAACATTAATATAGGAATGCCAGGAATTGAGCCTCCCAGTTCTGATGTGCTGCTGAGAAAGCAAAGCTTATCACTTGCTCTCTTGGGTTTTTTTTATACCTCTGTGGCAACAGATAGGGAGGAGCAATAGAGTCCAGGTGAAACACCACTGCAAAGGAGGAAGGTGCTAATAGAACCAAGAAGTTAGGCTATCATCTAAGCTAAAG